CAACTGGACCACGTAGGACAGCGAGGGTGCCACAAAGGGCGACAGTGGGGCCACGAAGGGCATGCACATGGGGCCACGACGGGCGCGGACGAGCGGGGGCCACGAAAGGCATACGTATATTGGGCCGCGGAGGGCAAGGACGGGGCCACTGACGGCAGCAACGGGGCCACGAAGGGCAGCGAGGGGGCCACGAAGGGCGACCTGCGGGGCCATGAAGGGCATGCATATGGGGCCACGACGGGCTGCAACGGGGCCACGAAGAGCAGCAAGGGGGCCACGAAGGGCTGCAACGGGGCCACGAAGGGCAGCGAGGCGGCCACGAAGGGCTGCAACGGGGCCACGAAACAAAGCGATGGCGCAACGAAGGGCTGCAACGTGGCCACGAAGGGCAGCGAGGGGGCCACGAAGGGCTGCAACGGGGCCACGAAGGGCAGCGAGGAGGCCACGAAGGGCTGCAACGGGGACACGAAACAAAGCGATGGCGCAACGAAGGGCTGCAACGGTGCCACGAAGGGCAGCGAGGGGGCCACGAAGGGCTGCAACGGGGCCACGAAACAAAGCGAGGGGGCCACGAAGGGCTGCAACGTGGCCACGAAACAAAGCGATGGGGCCACGAAGGGCTGCAACGGGGCCACGAAGGGCAGCGAGATCCCGATTCCTAAGTCATCTGTGAGGGAGTCTTAAGCGTGAGCGTGACTCCTGGGTGCCTGGGTGTCGGGAGCGCGGCGCTTGAGCAAATTGCGGGAAAATCTAAGCTATTCTTGAGTAAATTGCAAGCAACTGTCCAGCGAGAGCGCGACTCCAGAGCGCCGAGGGAGCGATTCCTGCATTAATTGTGAGGAAGTCCCAAACGAGAGCGCGATTCCGGAAACAAATGCGAGGAAGTCTCAGGCTGGAGCGGGGGTCCTGGCTAAATTGTGAGGAAGTCTCAGGCGGGAGCCGTTGTTGTTGTTGTAACCCGGGTGGCGAACAACGCAGTTGTTGAGGAGGAAGATTTTCCCTGATAGCAAACAGGGTGCGAGCAGGGTGCGAGCGCCGGGAGGGGCACTTCAATTAAATTATCCTGGCGGAGGACCCAACCAGATGCAGTTGCGAGTACCGCAATTGTGAGTATCTTCTTCGATGGCGTTCCCTATGGGGCCAAGAACCGTATGAGTGGTGTGCCGAAATCTGTGCGGCGGGCGCATGGGAGCGCAGCCACTGGGGCCTTCGCTGGAGCTCCCTATGGGGCCACGAAACGTGTGAGGGGTGTGCCGAAATGGGTGCGGTGGGCGCATGGGAGCGCAGCCACTGGGGCCTTCGCTGGAGCTCCCCATGGGACCACGAAACGTGTGATGGGTGTGCCGAAATGGGTGCGGTGGGCGCATGGGAGCGCAGCCACTGGGGCCTTCGCTGGAGCTCCCTATGGGGCCACGAAACGTGTGAGGGGTGTGCAGAAATGGGTGCGGTGGGCGCATGGGAGCGCAGCCACTGGGGCCTTCGGTGGAGCTCCCTATGGGGCCACGAAACGTGTGAGGGGTGTGCCGAAATCTGTGCGGTGGGCGCATGGGAGCGCAGCCACTGGGGCCTTCGCTGGAGCTCCCTATGGGGCCACGAAACGTGTGAGGGGTGTGCCGAAATGGGTGCGGTGGGCGCATGGGAGCGCAGCCACTGGGGCCTTCGCTGGAGCTCCCTATGGGGCCACGAAACGTGTGAGGGGTGTGCCGAAATGGGGTGGGCGCATGGGAGCGCAGCCACTGGGGCCTTCGCTGGAGCTCCCTATGGGGCCACGAAACGTGTGAGGGGTGTGCCGAAATGGGTGCGGTGGGCGCATGGGAGCGCAGCCACTGGGGCCTTCGCTGGAGCTCCCCATGGGACCACGAAACGTGTGATGGGTGTGCCGAAATGGGTGCGGCGGGCGCATGGGAGCGCAGCCACTGGGGCCTTCGCTGGATGGGGCCACGAAACGTGTGAGGGGTGTGCCGAAATGTGTGCGGTGGGCGCATGGGAGCGCAGCCACTGGGGCCTTCGGTGGAGCTCCCTATGGGGCCACGAACGTGTGAGGGGTGTGCCGAAATCTGTGCGGTGGGCGCATGGGAGCGCAGCCACTGGGGCCTTCGCTGGAGCTCCCTATGGGGCCACGAAACGTGTGAGGGGTGTGCCGAAATGGGTGCGGTGGGCGCATGGGAGCGCAGCCACTGGGGCCTTCGCTGGAGCTCCCTATGGGGCCACGAAACGTGTGAGGGGTGTGCCGAAATGGGCGCGGTGGGCGCATGGGAGCGCAGCCACTGGGGCCTTCGCTGGACGCTCCCTATGGGGCCTTCGCTGGAGCGAAACGTGTGAGGGGTGTGCCGAAATCTGCGCGGTGGGCGCATGGGAGCGCAGCCACTGGGGCCTTCGCTGGAGCTCCCTATGATCGTCATGATGGTGATGATGATGATGATGATGATGATGATGATGATGATGATGATGATGATGATGATGATGATGATGATGACGATGACGATGATGATGATGATGATGATGATGATGATGATGATGATGATGATGATGATGATGATGATGATGATGATGATGATGATGATGATGATGGCAGGATGGAGGGGGCAGCGGGAGGAGGAGTGAACGCGGGGCGCTGTCTCTTCAAAACGAGGACCCAACACCACAGGATGGTTGGGAAAAACAATGTGCACCGGAAGGGGGTGAGGGGGTGATCAACAATACTTATTCTTCAGTCGTGAGAGTTCAGCGTTAACGCAACAAGCAGAATCTTCACCACGGTTTCTCACTTCAGCCACGCACCCAGGAACAATGACCGTTCGGCCCCCACACTCTGAGAATGCGCACGTACTCGTTTTCAAAAATCATCATTCGCCAAGAACCCGTTGCAAAAATGAACATATTCCACGCGCGCGCCGTCGCGCGCATGCCGTTGTTTCTATGTGTATATATATATATATATATTGCTTTTCTATAAAATATGATATGATGTATTATATTTGAATCGAATACAGTACAATGTAGTTTTATAGAAGAACAGATTACACATGTGTAAAGGAGTTCAAGGTCGAGGTTCCCGGCGACATTACAAAAAAAGAAAAGTAGACGTGCAGCGGCCAACAAAAATAAGAAGGAGATTCAAGTCAAAGTGAATTGAAGCACAATCAGATTGGTATTAATTAGCGGCCACTGGATCACCGACACGACGGCGTTAAGCAGTGAAGACGCACACACACACACACACACACACATACAAACTCGCGCCTTCCTGCGAATATCATGAAGACCATAGGTTGTTCATCATTGTTTTCAAATGCGACCGAGTGGGCCTCCCGAGCGCGCATGTCGAAATCCTTCGAACGCACTTGCGCGCATGCTTAAAACCACGCGGGCCACTCGCGCCCGTCGGCCGCACGCGCACGTCGAAATCTGTCCCAAACTTCCACAACCGACATGTGGACACCATCATCCTCAATTTCACTCACAAGCTGCGCGACGATCGGGCGAGGTCAGCATGCCGCCCGCGCTGGAACGCCACTCCCGACCCAAGGTCGCACAGAATTGGGGCGAGGGCAGCCATTCGCCCACTCGCGCGGGCCCCCCAGACCAGGCAACTGATGGATATGCGCCGCGCCGAGGCGGGAACGCCGCTCTCGGGCGAAGTCGGCGAGGCGTCGAAGCGAGAGCGACATGCTCGCCCGCCCCCGCGTCGACGAAGTGGCGTGCGAAACATGGGCGCCGCGCCCGAGCGAGAGCGACACTGCGGCCTTCCGTGCGGGATGTGCGCCCCGTCCCGTTCCCGCCACGCACTCTGCAGCATGGACCGCACAATGTCCATGCTGAGACGACGAGCATCCTCCTCCTCCTCCTCCCCCTCCTCCTCCTCCTCCCTCCTCCTCTCCTCCTCCTCCTCCTCCTCCTCCTCCTCCTCCCTCCTCCTCTCCTCCTCCTCCTCCTCCTCCTCCTCCTCCTCCTCCTCCTCTCCATCGTCCTCCTCTTTTCCTCCTCTTCCTCCTCCTTCTCCTCCTCCTCCTGCTCATCCTCACCCTCCTCCTCTTCTCCTCCTCCTCTTCTCCTCCTCCTCCTTGATTGTGTACTGTTTTGGACAAGCAGGCTGGGACCACTAGGACTGGACTGCTGTCGGCTGGCCAGGTGGCAGAGTGGGGGCATATACTGATAAGGAATGGGGGCAGGGTAGGCAGGGCAAATTAGCGCAGCGTAGAGTGGATCAGAGTAGACTAGAGCAGGGTAAGAGGTAGATGAGAGTCGGGTAGAGTAAAGTAGGGTAAAAGGTAGATGAAGGTTGGGTAGAGTAAAGTAGAGTAGAGCGGAGTAGAGTCCACCCCAGTCAAGTCCAGTCTATTCCGGTCCAGCCTACATCGGTCCACTCCAGTCCGCTACGGTGCAGTCTTCAGACCTATCTGGAGACTGCGCTGGCGGACATGTGTTATCTAGTTTCGTGTGAGCTTGGAAGGTAGGTATGCAACTGTTCAGCTGAGGAGGAGGAGGAGGAGGAGGAGGAGGAGGAGGAGGAAGAGGGGGAGGAGGAGGACTCGGGGGTGGGGGGGGGGCTGGGGGACTTGAAAGCGCTGCGTGCACTCAGCTGGGCCCCAACATCGGCGCACACGCCCTTCCGGCCGAGGCCAGCACGGCGCAGACACCCGCCTGGGGGGCGGGCCCCCAGCGAGATTCCGAGGTGTTTCCGCGCGCCGCGTGCGCCCCTCCTCCTCCTCCTCCTCCTCCTCCTCCGCCTCCTCCTCCTCCTTCCTCCTCCTCCTCCCTCCTCCTCCTCCTCCTCCTCCTCCCTACTCCTCCTACTCCTCCTCCTCTCCTCCTGCTCCTCCCCCTCCTTCTCCTACTCCTCCTCCTCCTCCTCCTCCTCCTCTCCTCCTCCTCCTCCTCCTCCCTCCTCCTCCCTCCTCTCCTCCTCCCTCCTCTCCTCCTCCTCCTCCTCCTCCTCCTCCTCCTCCTCCTCCTCCTCCTCCTCCTCCTCCTCCTCCTCCTCCTCCCCTTCTCCGGAGGACTTCAAGCACAGCACCGGCAAGGACACTGCCACGCTGCACTACAAGGTACACGGCGCCGAGTGGGCGGCGGCCCTGGTCGAGCGAGACCACGCTTCCTGGCGCCGCCTCGTGGCGGAAGCGAACGCCAACGGCACGGCGAGGGGTCATTGGATCCGGCCCGCAGGACGTCGTCGTCGTCGTCGTCGCAGGAACGGGGAAGTGTTCGTAGGCTCTCGGGAGTTCCAAGGAGGTCTGGATGGTCAAGGGGGCCCAAGAGGCTGAGGAGATGTCTGTGGGGGAGGGGGGAGAGTTCTCGCAAGGTCTCGGGGTGTACGAGGGGGTTCCGCGTGGCTCCAGCGGAGTCAAAGAGGGGGCGGGGGCTTGCGGGGAGGAGGAGGAGGAGGAGGAGGAGGAGGAGGAGAAGGAGAAGAAGAAGAGGATCGCAGGAGCAGGAGGAGGATCAGAAGAGGAGGAGGGTGAGAGGAGGAGCTGGAGGAGCAGGACGAGGAGGATCCAGCCTGCAGGGCCCGCGGAGACGCATTGGAGCAAGCAGTTCGCCAAGCTGCTCTCGGCCCGCGTCCCCAAGGTGAGCGGCGTGGACAAAAGCGGGGGCTGGCCGCGCGGAGGCCCTGGGCGGCGCGAGAGCGCCTCTCCCCTCCACGGAGCGGCCTGCGTGAGGCCCTCGCGCCCCCGCTCGCGTGAGGCCCCCGCTCCCGGATCTCTGGCGATACGGTCGTGAATTTGTGGACAGCGTGGCGCCCCGCCAGTGCTTGCCCTCCGCCCCTCGATGCCGCACGCTGGCCACTTCACGGTCCCGAGGGGTCGGCGTCCCGAGCGGAGCGACACCATCCGCTTGCAAGGCACAGCGCGTCGCTGGGGCCGCAGCTGGGACACGCCAGGCAAAAGCTCCTGACCGTGCGTGCTGGCTTCAGCCCAGGAGTTTCCTCCTCGATTGCGGCGCCTGGGACCCGTCATCGCCTTCCCGGGCCACCAACACCAGATCTGGGGCGAAGATGCCGGCCCCAGGGGGGAGGGGTTGGGATCTCCCGGGGGCCTCGTTGGAGGCTTGGGTTTATGTTGCTCCCATCGTACTTAAGGACCACATCCAAGAAATGATTTCGAGCACCCTGAAAAGTATCGAAACGGTGTCGAGCGAGTATCGCCTCCCAGGGCCCGACACGTGAAAACCCTCCAGTTTCGGAATCTCCTTGGTGCTCGACATACTCTCTGGTGATCCAGGCTACGGTAGGCTGGAGCATCGTAAGCCTGGGCCTCTCTCGCCGCCCAGGTGGCCGGGGTCGTCAACCGCACGGCCAGCCAGGGGGTCTTCGTCGCGTGACGCGCGCCCTCGCCCGTGCTCGCGGGCTCGAGAGACAGGTCCATAGCCGCTGCCTCGCGAGCGGGGCCCCCGGGCCGCGACCCCGCGGGCACGGGGCGTCTCTTCGCGGACGCCCCTCGCGGAGCACAGCCGTGCGACCGCGCCCCCGCGGGGCTGCGCCCCGGAGTCCAGGCCGCGAGGGCGCGGATGTGGACCTGGTCTGAGGTCGGGCCTGCCCCCCTGCAGGCGGATTTTGGAGGCAAAGTTGAAGATACCCCAACAAAAAGATTCAAGAATGGCGAAATAAATCGTCCAAGAAGATCGTCCCCAGAATGTGTGTTTGACTATTTTTTGGGCTGCTCCTGCTGCAGAGGGCCACGCGCGACTTCAACCTGGTCGCCGCTCGTGCCGTGCGCAGCCCTGCGGGGCCAGGGTCTCGGGTCGGACGAAAGGGGGGGATTGGGAAAGGGGGGGTCACGAAATCTGCTGTGTGCAGCTGGTTTCGGCCTCACCGAGGGGCCCATTCCTCGATACATAGCCGCCTCCGGCGCCGGGAGGCGCCGGGAAAACCAGCTACGTGAGCTGATTCTCAAACCCCCCCTTTGCTATCCCCCCCTTTCGCCCGACCCGACCTGTGGGGCCAGGGTCTCCCGCCCTGCGGGTCCGGGCGCCGAGGCCCGTGGCCGTGACCGTGGCCGCCCCGGGCAGCCGCTCGTGCCCTGCCGCGCCGTCCTCGCGCGGGCCTGAGGGCGCCATCGGCGGCTGCAGGGCCCCCGGACGTGCATTGCGCGCGCCGTGGAAACGGTCGGGGCGGGATCGGGCGCCAGACGAAAGGGGGGGGGGAGTGGGAAAGGGGAGGAGGAGGAGCAGGAGGAGGAGGAGGAGGAGGAGGGGGGAGGAGGAGGAGGAGGAGGAGGAGGAGGGGGAGGAGGAGGAGGAGGAGGAGGAGGAGGAGGAGGAGGAGGAGGAGGAGGAGGAGGAGGAGGAGGAGGAGGAGGAGGAGAGGGGGAGGAGGAGGAGGAGGAGGAGGAGGAGGAGGAGGAGGAGAAGGAGGAGGAGGAGGAGGAGGAGGAGGAGGAGGAGGAGGAGGAGGAGGAGGGGGGTCACGAAATCTGCTGTGTGCAGCTGTTTCGGCCCCACCGAGGGGCCGAGTTCTCTCGATGCATGGCCGCCTCTTAGCGCCGGGAGGCGCCGGGAAAAAATCAGTTCCGGGAGCCGATTCTCAAACCCCCGCCTTTGCTATCCCCCTCTTTCGCCCGGCCCGACGGGAGAGGTCGGGCCGCTTTCGGCTTCTGGGGGCCCTCACCGGGCCCCGCGGGGCCGTCAAAGAACGGCTCGGAATGAAGGAGCAGCCTCAGGGGGACCGCGCATTGAAAAAATCAGGACGTAGCACGCCTGGACCACGGGTAGGGTTACGTCGGGGTGTGGTTTGCGATCGGCACCATGGGCCTGGGGAGCACGACACTTTCCTCGTCGGGCCTTCTCGGGGCGCGGCGGAGAGCTCTGTCGGGGTCCTCGCCCGCCCCCCAGGATGCCCCCCAGTGTGACCCCCTGGGGACGGTTGCAAACCACATCCTTTGCAAACCACACCCTTTGGAGTCGCCGAGTCGCGAGGATTTCTGCCGCGTGCCCATGTGCCGTCTTCTGCTTCCTCCTTCTCGAAGGATTGCAAAAAACGAAGGATTGCAAAAAAACCCTTGCACGAAGGATTGCAAAAAACCGAAGGATTGCAAAAAACGAAGGTTTTTTTGCAATCCTTCGGTTTTTTTGCAATCCTCCCTTTCCCGAAGAAGAGATATGCATCAACATAGATGTTCCGAGATCCGCGCTGATTTACGGTGGTGGCGCTCGTGAAGGAACGTGCCCAGGAGGTTTCAGGCCCTGAGGATCCCTACTCTGACGAGGGCGGCGGTGATATCCATGGCCAAGCCACAATTGATGTTCCACCGGCTGCCAGACTCGGGTGCGCTCCGCGCGCCAGGGAGGGGAGGGGAGTCTAGCGTCGATCCGAGTAATCCGCGCGGACCTCTGGCAGCTAATACTGATGTACTTACTTGTTCCTCTGTCCACATCATCATCACCACCATGCTCATCATCATCATCATCATCATCATCATCAGCAGCAGCAGCAGCAGCAGCATCATCATCCTCATCAGCATCCACTCCTCGTTCTCCTCCATCCGGCTCCTTTCAGGAAAATGCAAGACTCGATTACGCCAGAATTTGGGTTTGCCGGCGCTTTTTTGAAGAGCGCGTCCTGGATTTTGACGTCCCAATTTTCGTGGGATGTTAGCAGCGGGAGCTCGCGTCAAATTTCAGATTGGGTCTCGCAATTTTCATGATGGTCCCGTCAGGCCAACCCGAGTCCCCCAAACCCGAGTCTTCCGTCTCCCCGATCCTCTTGCTATGCTGTAACAGTAGATTTGCCACGCGTGGTCCCTTCCAGGATCCCTCCACCTCGCACAGGAGGGAGTCCGGGCGCGGGGTGGCCAGGAGCAAGAAGCGCGTCTATAGACCAGCCGCAGCTGGGAGTGCTCGGCCTCGACACTCCACTCGAGGGATAGTCGGCACGACGGCGTCTCTGGGGGGGAAGATTCGGAGCAGAGGGGCGCCTGAAGAGGAGCTCACGATTGTAGCCATTTCCCTTCGCGCCACTTCCTCGCCCTTCTCCTCCTGCTGATGCTTCCCGTCCTCCCCATCCTCACCCACAGCTTCTCCCTCCTTCCCCTCCTAATCCTGCTCTCCTCCTCCTTTTCCTCCTCTTCCTCCTCCTCCACCGCCTCCTCCTCTCACCATCATCATCATCATCATCATCATCATCATCATCAGCAGCAGCAGCAGCAGCAGCAGCAGCAGCAGCAGCAGCATCAGCACCACCACCACCACCAGCACCAGTATCCTCATCATCAGCATCATAAGCATCAGCATCAGTATCATCAGCATCATCATCATCGTCGTCGTCATCATCAGCAGCAGCATCGTCAGCATCATCATCACCATTATCAGTTTCGGTATCATCATCAGCATCATCATATTAATAATTATATGCATCGTCATCTTCATCTCCTTATCCATCCATATCTGCATCATCGTCAGCAGCAGCAGCTGCGCAGGAGCATCACTACCATCATCATCATCAGCATCATCATCAGCAGCAGCATCACCGTCACTGTCTACATAACTGTTCTCCTGATGATGCTGCCCCTTCTCCTCCAGAAGCCTCCTCCGCTTCTACGGTCGCATCTGCAGCACGTGTTTGCTGGCAATCGGCCATAAACATGATGAATTGAGACCTTGCACGATGTACGATAGCCGGCGGCGCGCCAAAGGGGGCCATGTCGGGGGTCGAGGAACAACAAATTGTATTAAGATACGGTATCGGAGCTCCGCGCGGATTCCTTGGATCGGCGCTGGACGGAGCGCGCCAGGGGCGGCGCCGGAGGCGCCGCCGCAGGCGCCGCCAGGGGGCTCCAGCGCCGATCCGAGAAATCCGCGCGGAGCTCCGAAAGTTCATGTCTGTACATTTTTTCGCTACGTCCAGGGGAGGAGGGGGGCGGCTTTTGGGCGGGGCTAAGAGAAGGATGAATCCGCTCCAGAGCGTTCCAGAACGTTTTCAGAGCGCTCTAGCGATCCGAGAACGCCGCGGTGCCTGGTACATCCTCCAGAAACGCTGGGTCTCAGAGATCCCCGATTCATCCTTGTTCTTGGCATCGCTCGGACGTGTGCATTTTTCCTTCGGCGAGGACCATCGAGGAGCATCCTTGATCATTTCGCGAAACAACCACTCACGAAACCGAAAAAAACATTGGAAACGGACGTCCGAGCGATGGCCAGTTCGATTCGGTTCAAGAGACTTGCGCTATTCCGCCGATTCCCCGAGGAGGGAAGAAGTCCACGGGTAGGGCATCGGGGGGCCTCTTGGGGAACCTCTGGAGGCCTTCGTGGGGGCCCTGGCATCGCTCGGACGTGTGCATTTTTTTCTCGGCGAGAACCATCGAGGAGCATCCTTGATCATGTGGCGAAATAACCACGCACGAAACCGAAAAAACGCAGGTAATGGACGTCCGAGCGATGGCGAGGGGCCTCCTGGGGGACTCGTCGGGCGTGCTGGGTGTTTCGTGTGGCGCTGCAGGAGCACATCACCTGGGACCAACGAGAGGACCATGTGAAGAAGAGGGGTGGGGCGCTGCGGAAGCAGGGGTCCAGTGATCTTCCCTCTTTCACTGAAGGACCCCCCATCCGTGCACGTGTTGCACAGGCTTAACCCTTTGTGGTCATGAATCTCGATTCGAGGAAGTCTTAAGCGACAGCTCCACTTAGAGAAAGAGCCGCCATGAACCCGTGCAGGGCTGCATGCGTTGCAGCTTCTGCCCCTTAAACGAAGTCTCGGGCGAGAACTCCATTTCGAAAAAAACACTCCTGCACCCTGCTCAGCATTGCATTTGCACAAAAAAGAATGTTCGCGACGCTGAGGCGAGAATCACAATTTGAAAACGAACCGCCCTCCATCCGCGAAGCTACTGCAAGATTCTACACAGAATATGCGCGGCGCTGGGGGCAGCACAAATTCAAAAACAACCCTCTTCAATCCGTGACGATGCAAAGGTTTCAAGCCATGTGCGCACCGCTAAGGCGAGAAGCACATCGTGAGAACGCCCTCCTCCATCCCTGAAGCTGTTGTAAACGTTTTAACATTTATGATAATTCACGAGATTTCACTTCTGGCTGTGAAGCTCAAGGAAGTTTCAATCGAGAGACACGTTTTCAAAAACGGGCAGCCCTCCTGCGCAGCTGCTACACGCGTTGACGCGATGTGTTGTTCTACTGTGAGGGAAGTCTCGCGCCAGAGCCCCATGTTGAAAAGGAGCCAGCTTCCATCCTCACAACCGGCCCGAGATGTTGGGACGAGTGTGCACGGCGTTGAGATGAGAGCCCCACTCTGAAAAGCAGCCGCCCTCCAGCCCCGAAGCTGCCGCAGACGTCGAAGACGAATGCGCGCGGCGCAGAGGCGAGAGCACCATCCTGAAAACGGCGAATGCGCACGGCGCGGAGGCGAGGGCGCCATCGTGCAGATTGTAGCTTGTGGCTGCGAGCTGCAAGTTCTAGGACTGTCCGCGGTGAGACCGTCTGGGGCGACGCGCCTGGCGCGCCCAACTAGCACGCCTGGGTGCCCGACGGGGAGGAGCGATCTTTCAGGAAAGGAGGAGGAGGAGAAGTGGGAGGAGGAGGAGGAGGAGGAGGAGGAGGAGGAGGAAGAGGAGGAGGAGGAGGAGGAGGAGCAGAAGAAGGAGGAGGAGAAAGCAAAGGAGAGGGAGGAGGGAGGAGGAGGAGGAGGAGAGAAGGAGGAGGAGAAAGCAAAGGAGAGGGAGGAGGAGGAGGAGGAGGAAGAGGAGAGGAGGAGGAAGAGGAAGAGATG